TGCCACCACCGCCAGTGGCCGGCAAAGACGTTCACCGTGAGACAAGGAAATGAGAAGACGTTAAAAAGGAGGAGAGTGAAAAGAAAAAAGAAAGAAAGATAGACAGAGAGAGAGAGAGAGAGAGAGAGAGAGAAGCGAAATCTTTAGAACAGGACGTGCTCCTCTCGTATGAGGAGCTCAGACTTCCGGGTTCGCCTTCTATATTAGATATTCACGCTCGTTTCTCGCTACGCTGCACCTGGTGCTTTTTCTCTCAGATGTCTTCCAACAGAACGAGAAATAAAGAGAGAGAAAAAGAGAGAGAGAGAGAGAGAGGAGTATAAATTTAAAGAACATCGTGCACTCGTAACAACCTGTGAACATACGCACGTTCGATATAGATGATCATCTTTTTTATCTTTTCTATTTTTATTAATTCTCACTGCAAAACATTGCGTTTCCTTTGATTGAGGGAAAGTCTCAACAACCACGATCACGTTTATCCCTTATCGTGGGAAATCCGTACTCTTATAGCAGGCGAGTATAATTTCGTTTATACGTAGGAACTTGAAGAAGAAAAAAGCATGTGAGAGAAAAAGATCGGTCCTCGAGAGAAAAAAAAAAATCCTTTTCCAACGATGAAAAGGACTGCTGTTCGTAGAAAAAGGGAATGTTTTCTTTTTTTCCTATACTCGTGTACAAGACAATAATAACAGGGATGTACGTGTAGATAGAGATTGTCTATTAGATAAATAAAAATCGAATGATGATCAGTCGAATAGTATTGTTGAAATAATTTATAGAATTTGTTCGAAATATAATTGCTAATTAGTTGAGATATTAAACGACGAAACATCGTGATTTTTATCTAAAGGTTAGTGCAAATAATATTTGATATAATTGATTAATGAGAGTTGGTAGTACGTTTGGGTTCGTTGCTAAAAACTTTGCACATAAATCGATATTTCAATGAAAAATAATCGACTAGCGGTTTTAATAAAAAAAAGACTTGCCTTTTTACAGGTATAAAATATTTGAACAGTAACCCTTATCAATCATTTGTACTTTTTTTTATTTAAATGTTTATTTCTTCTTTCATGAAACTCAGTTTATTTTTCGGAAGCCCTCGAAAATGTTGAAAATAAATATTTCATTTTTTTGTGGCTTTTGAAGGAGAGAACCAGATTCTTAATAAGAAATTATTTTAATTTTGAAAGGGATATTGTGTACATTTACTCTAATGGAACCGGGTTACATCTATCGACAGACCTGTCCTAATATTTACAGAACTGAAGCGCCCTTTCTTTTCGCTCACTTGGTCTTTCCCTCAAAGAGGACATCACGAAGTGGTTAGGAGGGAGAGACCTTTTTGACTGTGTACATGTGCGTCCTTTGTGCTTACATGCACTGCATTTCTAGTTGGCCACTTAGCCTTCAAGGAGCTGCAATTTGTAAGTCCTCCAAAATAAAATCCAACTAGATCGTAAACCTGGCATATTTGGAAAAGGAAAACGGTAGCAAGATGGTACTTAAGAATTTGTTGTAGATAACATACAGAAAAAGTCAACCAACTGAATTCATATATAAAGTTTCATTAATTTCAGCTAATCGTAAGAGAAGAATTTTGACAATATCCTTGTTTTCGATCTATACCTCGATGTTACAAAATTAGCAAGGTTCTATCAAGAAGGTTTTTGATGATCTCGTTAATACCTACACTTATAAAATATGAAAGAAACCGAATCTTTGTAATTTCGGAATTTTCATTGTCCAGCCCGCGTTCTCGAATGTCGGTAAAGGGCAGGTAAGGTCGGTAACACGAGAAAGATCTCAGGGTGGTCGTTATTATAATAAAGCCCGAAAATGATACAACGTCTTGGCCAGACAGGCTCTCGTTTTCTTTATTTATGTTAATACGAAGCTCCTGTATGGATAACACAAGAGCCAAGTATGTCGACAGTATATGCGTTTACACGCTGCAAATAATTATTCATATATTACGTACGTACGTACGTAAGTACGTAGAGTCGGCCAACAGGTAGTTGTAACTTTAAACCAACCAACAGAAAGCGGCGTAAAAAAGATCCCCTCGTTCTACTTTTCTGATGTAGTTATCGTCATACTTTACGAACATGACTCGTTCAAAATGTCCATAATATTTCCAGAATATAATACGAAGATTGAAAATATCGAACGAGTAAAAGAACAAATTTTGAAGAAATTTAGAATTAGACGAATACGATTTGAAATTACGATTCGAATAATTGTTACTTTCTTCGGTGACTTAAACAAATGTTTTATATAATGAGATAAAAATGAGAAATTGAATAATTTTGCGAACAGGAACGAGCAAAGATACGTGTCGATGGATAAAGCAAGCAAGAACTTTATTTTTTTCTATTGAAATAAGAGTAAGTAAAGGTTGAAAGAATATGTAGGAGGGTAAACGCGAAAGGGACGAACTGAAAAAGATCATTTAGGAGAATGCAGCGGTGGTAGATCGGTTGGCTCGTCGTCAGTATTCGCTCCCCAATGGCTCGACTTGAAGTGATCCATGCAACACAGGTATGTATGGCTTTTCTATGGGGTCTGGCTACTGGCGAAAGACCCAGTCACTGGTCATTGTTCGCATCGTGTACAATACATTCTCGATACCATGTAGATTGCATTCACCAGCCAACGTATATCTTCGCTTGAAGGAAGAATCTTTTTTTTTTAAAAAAAAAAAAAAAGAGAAAGAGAGAAAAAAATAAAGAAACTAAGAGGAGAATAGCTCGTAACTAGACTCGATTTACAACTCGTCTTCTTTCGTATCATCACCCTATCTGTTCTACCCTATTTATCTGACAAAAAAGAAAAATATAAAATAAAAAAGAAAAAAAATGTTTTTTTTATTCGTCGTATCAAATTCTCAGTCAGCATCACGAGATTTTGTTTCTTTTCACATCAGAACTTTGAAAAAACGTAACTTACCAAACAAAGTTGAATCTAAATTCTGTATACCAGGTGATACACGAACTGTCGTTGTAAAGCTGCTCGATTGGCCTCGCTCGAATCTTATAATAATCATCCAAACATTCGAATAAGATTTAAGCATATTATATATATGTATGTTAAATTGTATAATTTAATTAATTTAATAAAAAATCGATAAAGTAATCTATCAATGGAGACCGAATATCTAATGCAAATGAGATGATATGTGATATAAAAAAATGTATAATACAAATGTGTAATACCTGTAATAGGAATACATTTAAACACGTCTGATCGGAAGCAGAGAAGAATGACAACTGAGAAGGGAAGGGGTGGATAGAGATTAAATTCATGGAAACATTGGTTTCTCGGACGTTTAATATTTTGTTTATACATACGTTACCCCTCAGCCGATGAAAACATTCGATTATTGTCGTTTTTATTCTCTTCAAAATCTCTTTGTCGAACTTGTAAACACATTAACCTTCGTGTACGTTCGGTATTCGTCGACTATATTTCGTAGCTTTTTTCGTATATACTGTTAGCGTTTTTCGAGAACGCCGATTCCATTTTAATCTTATATATGTAATAATATGCCTTGTTGTGTAGAAAATGATCGTAAACAAAAAAGAAAGGAAGATATAAAGAAAAAAGTAAATCGCGCACATGTTGAAGCTTTTAGACTGGTAATACCCTGTGACCCTTTCACACTAAAAGACTTTGTAAAGTAAAAAAGAAAAGAAAAAAGGAAGACGTGGATATAAATCGCTAAAGCATAGCGTGCGCAAAAAAAAAACCCACGTTGGGGAGCGTGCGAAGATATGAGAATTGTCAACGAGTCTTTCTTTTCTCATAATAGGATTAGCAAAATAAAAAGAAAAAAAAAAAAGAAGCTTACTATTAGATTAATTTATGCGTTGACTTTTCGGCCTTTAAACTTTTGGGTGATGATTGAGAGCATAAGAATGACGTATGGCATATACATATATCTCTAGTTACGTTTTAAAATTAAACAATTATATTTTGTAATATTCTTATTTATAAAATTGTACAAATTTGTTAAATGACATTATGCGAAGGGAAGAGGAGGATAGATGGTATTTAAAAAGAAAGAAAAATGATACTGTTATCATTCCAGTCACGGATCGAATCGAAATCGATTGATTAATCGCATCGGTCGTGGCTCGCGATTGCTCGTATTTTCACGCGCATTTTTACGTTCTACACATTGCGAGTCAAAGGAGCGAAACGAAAGAGCGAAAGCTCTCTTTGGACGGTACGAAGCTTTGGCTGGTCAGAAAAAAATGGCTAGCAAAAAATGTTCGACATGTGCTGCGACATCGGCGTTGCCAAGCGTTTCGATCCATCTCGCATGAGCTGTAAAATACTCTCTCCTTTTAATCTTATCCAAAAGAAAGAAGAAGAAGAAGAAGAAGAAGAAGAAGAAGAAGAAGAAGAAGAAGAAGAAGAAGAAGAAGAAGAAGAAGAAGAAGAAGAAGAAGAAGAANAAGAAGAAGAAGAAGAAGAAGAAGAAGAAGAAGAAGAAGAAGAAGAAGAAGAAGAAGAAGAAGAAGAAGAAGAAGAAGAAGAAGAAGAAGAAGAGGAGGAGGATGAGGACTATCTCCTGCCGCATATGAAAGCAACTTCGCGTGCGGCTTTGTTTTGGCAAAACAGTATGAGAGTTTAATAAAAAAAACGACCGCCTCTCGAGAAATGTGCCGTTTTCAGAGTATACAGGAGGAGTAGAAAAATTACCCATAAGTGTATTCCTCTTTTAAATTAGTGCTTAGGTTTTCGTGGGAAAGTTTTATCTACATAGAACGTCATCTATATATATATGTATAAAAGAAATACACATATATCTATATACAAGAGGAATATTTAAACGACGAACGATAAGAACTTTTAATGAATTTTTTCTAACGAGATACGCGTCATGCCTCGTTTGAACTTCCCCTCGAATAAATTTATCGAAATAAAAATAAATCCGAAAAAATTTGACAAGTATGATAGATGAGAGAACACGTTGTTGCATCGATAATTATTCTACCTGACATATTTAAAATATTAGAATACAAGAGGAGATAAAAAGAGAAAAAAGAAAAAGAATAACAACGCGAGAATATCGTGTTCTCGTTGCATGTGCCTTGGCCGTTACGGTATTCCTTAACCACAATTCTCTTGATGATGCTGCTGCTATGAACCCAGTACGACGGTATACGCGTTACCACTTCTTATTGCACTTCCATCTTGGCGGCTTTCCCACACCAAGACGACTACCAGAGTGTAACATTATATCCTCGGTAGAGCGCTATGGTGGTTCTCTTTCGCCATGATGACAAACTCGTATCTCCTACACACGCTCCTGTTCCCGCTCTTCGACATATTCTGCATGGGTGGTCGCAATTTCTCTCTCTCTCTCTATCTATCTTTCTCAGAACCAAGCAAGATTCTCGTCGTTACAATACTTTTAAATTGGAACATCAAGGACGTGGCTGTATCTACGATCTTTCATTTGAAGTAACATGGTCCATATATACGAGTTTGATTTCTGTAAGTGCAAGAGGTGCGGCGAATAAACTAATTGTAAGAAAATTCCATCATGCCCTGCCCTATTCTAATCGAACAAACAAGTTCATCCGTAAAACCTACATACCTGTATCTAATGTTCTTTATTCGAGCAAAATGTATTTCAACGTCATCCTCCTCTCAACAATTTCAACCTAGGACACGTCGGTTGATTTTACAAGATCTCAAAGTAACGTAATTCCGTATTTCCTGCAAAAAAAAAGACACAATCGGAAACGCCGTAAAAGCGCGACGCAGTCTCACCGCAAGGTGCATGCAAACTACGCGACGCCATCTTCCCCACCTTCTTTTGTGTTCCGCGAAGGCGAGTTTCAAGTTCAGTGCCACCACCTACAAACACAGAGGAGTCCTCGTAGTATTTTCTTCAACACCGAGTTGAAGATAGTACAGGTTGATGCAACTATTTACCTGAACGTTCTCTCTCCCTCTCTCTCTCGCTCGTTCTTTCAGTCATTCTTTGAAATAGCCAGCAGCTCGAATCTCCGCCCCTCTCCAGGTCCTTTCATCGTTCTTATACCCCCTGCCTCGAAATTCTAGTGGCGAGTCTTTACAATACCCTACGCTTTGATATATTCTTTCTGTTTCGTGGCCATCCTTCATGGACGAGCCATTTTCCTCGAGCATACGGCGTGTCGAACGGCCGACCGACTCGAGGACTTCGTTCATTCTTACTACGTCTCTGTGTTAGTATATTTTGCGAGGGCGGACTTTACAGACGAGCCATGTGGCAAGCGTTTTTTCCCTATTCTCCTTTAAGCTAGAAAAAGACGTCGCATCAGAAAAAAAGAGAGAGAGAGAGAGTGAGAAAGTGTAAGGAACTCTCCATTGTCACACTGCTAACGTATGTTCTCCAGGTGACTTGGAAACAAATCGTTTTTACGCTTTTTGAAAAAATTCGTAAGATTCAAAATTGAAAAAGATGATAATCGACTAAATTTTGTTCGATTTGTTAATAATATCATTTACTCGCGTTCGAAAGGTTGGGTCGATTCCTTAACAAAATTTGCGATAGAGAAGTTTTTAATGTTACGATAGAGAAAAAAGAATGTGCAAGTTAGAGAGTAACCCCCATAAACAGAGATTCTCGGAAGATTTATCCCGTAAGGCGATCGATGGCCTCGAAGAAGGTGGATTCGTCGAGATGTTAGGTGGATAGGCACACAGGAATGGGAACTGGAGTTCACTTGTTCTTCCAGTCTGCTTGATGGTGTTCACGACGAGTCGAAGATGAAGACGACGGCTGGACATTCACCTTTGCTCGCGACGCTGGACTCAGGATTCGACGAGGTTTACTTCGGAAGAGTCTCATCGTTGAGTCCCTGGAGACATATCTGGACTGTTTTCTTTAAGACTGGTTGCCCCATTTGGTAACGAAGGGAGCCATCTTTGCAAACTCGATACAAGCTTCTCTCTCTCTCTCTCTTTCTCTCTTTTGTACAGGAACGAGCCGTAAAGATGGACGAATGTGTCTCGTTTCTCGCTTCTTTTGCTTATACACGTACACGTTAGCGCGATTTATTTCGCGCTTCTCCTTGTCCATACAGGAATACGTTACCTTAAACGGGTTCACAGAAATCTTTCGCTTACGTTGATGAACCATTCTCAGGGAGTTTGAATTTCTATCGAAAGTAATGTTTTTCTCTTTCTTTCTTTTCGATAATTTTAAAACGAATCGTAAAAAGAAGAGAAAAGAAAAAGAAGAAGAAGAAGAAGATTAACGACAATCAGGCGCGTTAAAGATGTTCATCTTAAATTTACTCGACAGATACGTAGAAGACGCGGTCGTCTTCATAGATCAACCAACCGGTACCGCATTTTATTTTCTCGAGAATGACAAAGGTAAACGAAAAGAAACGATACCACCGTCGCCGTCGTGTTGGAAGTAAAAATATCACGACAATGTTGCAGGTTACTTACTATACGTTTAGCTTGTGGAAAGGAAACCTTGTGGAAAAGGTAGTGGTAGACTCGAGATCGTTCTTGCTACTTCTTCGTGGGACACGAAGTTTCGTAAGAAGAAGTATAGACCACGGAAGAAACATCGCGGCAGAAGTGTAAGAGCAGAACAGAAAAATAAAGAAAGAAAGAAAGAAAGGAAGAAAGAAAGAGAAAGAAAGAGAGGAAGAGAGAGAGAGAGAGGGAAAGGCGGGAGGAGGGAGGCGGGAGGAGGGAGGAGGACCGTCTCGAGGTCTCGTAGCATGCAATCTTCGCCCATTGAAGACGCGCTGGGAAACTGCACGGTTATTATGCCTCAATGGAAGAGGACACGGGATGCGCAGGGCTCGGGCGGGTAAGAATGTCGAAGGTAGCAAAGGATGGACGTAAAACGTACGCGGTATTCCAAGCTAGAGGGAGGTTCCTGTTCCGTAACCGCGGCACGCAACCCAACACAACCAAGTCCCTATCTCTGGCACATGCTGTTAGAAAGAGAAAAATATTCCGTGAGCTAGAGTGAACGAGAGACAACCCGAAAACTACGAAAATCTTTTTCTTATTTTTTTTTTTTTTTTTTTTTTTAACTTTATCACGATTTTACGATATTTCACGGTGTTCCTTCTCTTTTGTCTCTTCTATTAAACTCACTTGACCAGTCGCGTGGTCTTTTCCTCTTCCATGACGTTCATTAACTGTATTGTCAGGAAATTCTTTCTCGAGATATATCTGAGTTTTATAACATAAACATTTATAGCAAGACGATAGATATTTCGTATAGAATTCTATACGTTCATTTCAAAAATCTTTCAATGTTTATGTTCTTTTTTTAATTATTCTTTTTTAAATTTGATTTTTACGATTGGATCAATTTTAATTTATGCGACTAGGATATATTTAGAGAGATTGTTCTCCTTTTATAAATATATATGTATTACTGCGAGTAGGATCTCGACAACTTGATTATCGAAGCGACTGGAACGCCTCCATTTAGAGGCCGCGTATCGTATGAGCCGCGTACAAAACGTGCTTGATAAGAATTAAGTATTCGTAGTCAACGCAAGACGAGCATTTAAAGAACGGCCACGTCACGCGAGAACAAGAGAAATAAAAAAGAGAAAAAGAAAGAAAGAGAGAGAGAGAGAGAGTGAGAGAGATCTTTCCGTGAAAAACGATAAGCGTCGAATTGCTGTAGATTTCATTGGCTTCGGATTACGATAAAATTTTTTTATCGTACCAATCTATGTTTTCATAATCTTGTACTTTTCTTCGATAATTCTTGATAAAGAAAGAACGTATGTATCTATTTTTCAGATTGGTCTTGCAATAATTTAAAGCTTTAATAAGACTTTTTATTATTTTGTCTTTCTTTTTGTTCGCAAAATAAAAAGAAATCTTACGGCTCGTTAATTTCAGTAGAATCAACCACACGACACACGGTAGGGCACGTTTAAGGCAAAAGCCGAGACGAATCGGACACGAGGAACAAGCCTGGCTGGCTGAGAAGTTGTGCGTTAGCTACATCTTCAATTCGCGAATCCTTTTCGCGTTCAACGCGCAATTTGATCGATTTCTTCTGATGCATTCCTGCCAAGTAAGACGACGTCTTACTGCGAGCAAGAAATATCATCGCGGCATTGAATTCCGGGCCAATACGAGCGCACCCCTCATCAACCTCAATTAAACTCCACCATCTCGCACTTATGCTCACTTCGCACCCGAGGCGCTCCGAGTGCTGCTGGTGTTAAGTCACTACGTATTATTGGCCGAGCGAGTAAACTTCGCTCGAGACGACCGAAAAAGTCTAACTTATCGCGAGTTTACTTTCCACGCCGTATCGAGTTCACACCTAATTGTATTGTCGATCAATCTACTACTTTAGCTTCTATCAGAGTAACATATTGTGAAAGCATTGGAAAGCATTAGGTTTGTCTTTAGTAATTACCGAGATCGCCTTTTACGATGTAACAGTATTATCAAATTCATGATCGCTTGATTTTCACGATTAGGAAAAGTCTATATCTTGTAGTTAAACCACGAAAAGACCACGTTCCCACCTTCTTCTCTTTGTTCATAGTTTGCACTATTACAATTCTTCCAACGTCTTCTTTTTCAGGCGGATAAACGACCAACGTAAGATCTCCGCTCTCTCTCTCTCTCTTTCTTTCCTTTTCTCTTTCTCTTCTTTGCTCTATAGTCTCAACAAGGAGAGGGAGAGAACACAAATCCTTTCCTGCTAGACTGACCCTCGATGTGTGACCATGCTCCTTGAGAAGAAGACACGATTTAATTCGACTATGATTTCTACGATTCAAATCTCCCGCCAGACATGTCTTTGAATATCTTGACCAGGATTATGCATCATCTCGTACTAGTCGCGACGACCATTGAACTTCAATACTTTTCAGCACGATCATAAAGACGACTTCTTCTACTCAAGAGATCAGATTTGTATATTCTTTCACGGTGAATTGAAAGAATGATATTTTTCGAACTTGGTACCAGCCTACAGTTTTATATTATAGAACGTACATTTGTCACCTTTAGAAAATGGCTTCGGCGATTGAACGAAAACCGCAAATTCCTTCGTAAGGATCGAATAACTCGATTCATGGATTTATCGGTCTTCGTTGCGCCCTTCATTCCTTTAATCTTACGAAAAAGAATTTCGAAATATAGTCTCTCTTAGTATATTTTCGTAACAAGTAAGAAAACAATCCGATCGCGAAACGTAAAACTTCTTAAACTAGATGTTAATCGGTCGTTATTGCATAATGATTCATTACTTACATGGTCTCAATCGAAACGAATACTAGAACGAATCGAAAACGTTTTAGGTAAAATCAGTAAAATCTAAATCGTCGTGAGTCATCGACACGTGAACGAGTAAGCGAGCGAGCGAACGCAGCTGCAGCCTCGTAGTATCATGCTAAATGATTATCACTTAACACGAGCAACTAGTTAGGCACGCGCAACGAGAGATTCTCTTTAACGAAAGAGAGGAAGAATATTCGCGCCTAACGAGCCAAGTCGTTCGATTTAAATCTATTTCAATTCTTACAGCTTAGAGATTCTATTCCAACTTATTTCCTTATGCCATACACATGCTTACGAAATAATTCTCATTGAAAGACCTAAATTGCATGCCACATTATTTTCTCGTAGGAAAATTTGACGACTATAGATAAACGTTATATCTAAATGAAAGATTTGATTTGTTTGTTTCGGTATTGATCTAATGTTATTTAAAAAAAGAAAATAAAAAACACAATTGATTGTATTTCATCATATCTACGAATTGATAGCGAATACGAGTCAATCCGCGAGTTAGTAATTTCGAAGCACGTGAATACCCAGTAGCGGTCCAATACCTCGCGTTATAAGGTCGGGCTAATCGTGAAATGTCGGTGATACACAATTGGCTTTTTGTGCGGTCTTAGATTCGGCGGGTGTATCATTTCATTAATCCATTAAACAATTACGGCTAAGCACGGTACAAACACTTGTACAACACATACACCTACTTTATATAGGCTCGTGTCCATAACCATTTGTGAATGCGTTCCTTGTAATTGGCTCCAAGAGAGTGTCTCTGCTTGCTTCCGACGTTATTCCGACACGTGGTTTCGAAGTCTACGTTCCGATGGTACTAATTTAAAATCCAGTCTAGATATTTTTTCTTTCTACTATCGTATATACAAACCCTCCCCCTTTGAATTGTCAAAAAGAAGAAAAACAAAAGATTAGGAAAAATGTGCGTCTCGTTGAGAGAGAGAGAGAGAGAGAGAGAGAGAGAGAGACGGGTGAAGATACATAGACGAATTAAATTGTGGTCAATGCACGAGGTGAATGCATTGTCGCTCGACCCTGATTGCTGCTAGCTGTCGTCGTACTGGCAGAGATAACTCAATTGCTGAACATCCAATCCTACTAAAGTTCCTTCGAGATAAGTCAACGTTAACTTTCAAAGATCGGTTTA